TTTATTTGTGTGACAAAGTTTCCTTCTCAGACTAATATCTTCTTTTCTGTAAGGTTGTTTCTTGCCTTATGTATATATATTTTATTATCAGCTTATATATAAAGATATTAGGAAGATAAACATAATTGTCCTTCCTCTTGCAGTCTGAATCTGTTGACCCTCTTCTGTTCACTCACAATAGCTGTGCATTCCACTTTCTTAGCTCTTTAGAGCATTAAAAAATTTTTTTTAATTTATTTTTTTTGGAGATAGAGTCTTGCTCTGTTGTCCCAGTTAGAGTGCAGGGGTATCATCATAGCTCACTACAACCTTTAGCTCTTTGGGGCTAAAGTGATCCTTCTGCCTCAACCTCCTGAGTAACTGGGACTACAGGCAGATGCCATGATGCCTGGCTAACTCCCTCTTGCTCAGGCTGGTCTTGAACTCCTGAACTCAAGTGATCCTACTGCCTTGGCCTCCCAGAGTGCTAGGATTATAGGTGTGAACCACTGCACCTGGCCTGTTTATAAAGTTTTATTGGAACACAGCCATGCTTATTTATTTATGCATTGTCTGTGGCTGCTTTCATGCGTCAGTGGCAGAGCTCAGTAGTGACAGAGACCCTTTGGCCTGTAAATCCTAAAATATTTATTGTCTGGCCCTTTATGGGAAAGTTTGCCACCCTCCTTCATAAAACAGTCCTTGGTAGGTAGTATTTGTTGAATGAGTCAGGGGATTGGTGGCAACCTTGGACTTCAGTCACCTCAGGCTTGTCTGGTTCTCAGGGCCTTTGGAGTGAGACCCCCAGAGGGTCCATATCACTGTCTCTGGGGCTCTACACAGGCTTCTTCACTTAGCATCAGTAATCTATTCCTGAAAATCAGACATTCTGTGCAGAAATGTGACTGAGAGCCTGTTTCCTTTTTCAAAATATGAACATTATAAAATGTTACATGTCCACCCAAAACCCCAGTCAGTTTCTTAAAATAGAACGCAAACTGGAATGCTACCCAGCAATAAAAGGGATTAGACTATTGGTGTCAGCTGTACTTGGGAGAATCTGACAGTAATTATGCTGAGTAAAAAAAAAAAAAAACAAAAACAATCCCAAAAGGTTAAATAATGTATTATTCCATTTATGTAATATTCTTAAAATGATAAAATAATAGAAATGTCGAACAGAGTTGTGGTTTCCAGGGATCGAGGAACCTGCAAACAGGTCGGTGTTGCTGTAAAAGTGCTACTAGGGGGTTCTTGTGGTGATGGAGCTGCTGTGTGTCTTAACGTGATTGTGGACATGTGAACCCACCTGTGAGGACACACCATACCCACAGAAACTCACAAGTGCAAGTAACAGTGGGGAAATCTGAGTAAGATCTATGGATTATATCAGTGTCAGTATCTGGGCTGCGATAGTTTTATAAGTTGGAGGAGCTGGGTAAGGGTACATGAAATCTCATATTTAAAACTGCATGTGAATCTATAATTATCTCAAAATAAAAAGGTTTAAACTAAAAAATATAGCCAAACATGGCAAACCACCTGTATATGTAATAGACTATTATGTTTGGATGCGCACTGCTTAATGCATTTCTTTCTGATTACCATAGAATTTATATAGTTGTCAACAAACAGTTGGCTTTGTGTACACAAAGATGGAGATTCTTTATGTCACCATTATCCCAGAAGTACTTCTCAAAATATCTGTACACTGTTCTGACTTTCTGCCAGTTATATATGGAGTGCAACTGTGGTTTTGTGTGTGTGTATGCGTCTTTTTGCATGTGTGTGAAATGTATGGAGTACTTTAGGATAGAAATAAAACATTTTTCTTCTATAAACATTGACTAGGAAATGTATTGAAAAAGTTGGGAATTAAAAACAAAGAGGTAATAACCAGATGGATATTTGCAAGGTGTGCAAGTGGCCCTTTCTGGGTCACAGTACCATTCCCGGACCAGTCCTGTTTCCAGAGGTGTGGGGTCACCTCTGACACATCTTTGTGGGGGTTCACACAGACGTGTCACGCCTGTGGTGGGGCTGTTGGGTCTGTGTAACTGACAGCCCAGGCTGGCAGGTTTGGGCTAATTCTTGAATGGAAAGAATTCTTGTTATCCAAAGAAGGAAAGGGGGACACGGGACAGGAAAAGGAAGTAGCAGACATCCACAGAACTCAGTACATGTTTGGTGAATGAATGGATCCTTTTCATCATTTGCTACTGCTTGAGAAGTTAATATTGTTTAATTTCTCTTATTTTTGTTGGAGTTGAATTCTGATACATTATTACTGTAAGTGAGAAAAGCAGAACTCAGTGATGCTGAGAGATTAGATGCCCTATCCAGTGTCACTGCCAGTGAGTGCTAAGGCTGAGGCTCAAGCCTGGCTTTTTCGGAGACCAAAATTTGTGTTCTTAACCTTTGCAACTATTGCCTGTCTGAAAGTATGGCATTAAGAAAGGGAGGCTAAGATGCACATGTGTCTAACAGCATTTCTCCCAGTGCTTTGCACATGTGGCATTCAGGAAATCCTATTTTTTTTTCTTATTATAACTTTTTTCTAGTTAGAGAAAGCATTGCCATTGAATCAGCAGACTGATATTTTAGTTATCTATTTTTGTAATGCTACATTTAAGCCATTGAAAATGTTATTTAACAGGGGAAAGAAAGTTATTTTCTACAGCAGCTTTGTAAGCTTTGTCCAAATTGCCATGTTAAGCAACTATGGGTTAGATTTTCCCAGATCTCACAACCAAGCAGGGGAGTCATATTTATTTTCTAGAGCACATTTAAATCAAATGCTTTGTATAATCAGTTTTCTAGATTTTTGCAGTCAATGAATTCTATTTTATTCATGTTATGAGTATAGCTTTGCCTTTGTGTACCTATATGGATATGGATAATTTTCATTTAAAAAAATTTCCTTGAATCCTTGACTGGAGGAGTATCTCTGTTTACCAGTGAAGTGTTCATCTTTCATGTGTGTTTACATGTGTACTCGGATGCATATGTAGATGGCTTTTGCCACCTTTTATGTGGAGTATCAATATCATGATGAAGATACTGTCCACATGCTTTAAAATCAGTAATGAATGAGATTTGAGAGAAAGAGATGAGAAGAGAAACTTTCGTGCAAGTTTTATGTTTTTAGTCAGTGTGGAAAATATAAAAATATGGTCATTGCTTTGGCATCAACAGTGTGATTTATGAACATTAGCTTTTCTGTAATCACATTTAAATGAGGAATTTCATGGTTAAACTGGGGATTCTGCCCCTGACGTTGACTGGGGTGGGTCAGCTCTAACACTAGAGGCAGAAAGTAGTGACAGAAAAAACAGGTCTCCCGTGGGAAGCCTGTTGACAATAGGAAAGTATTACATTTATAGTTTTTTTACTTTTACAAACTAAATGTTTCTCTGATGTGTTTACAAAACATTTCCTATAACCTCTTTCATTTTCTTGCCCTCTGTCCATTTTTCCCTCTCTAACCCCCCCACAACCTGCTGGTTAAATACACTTGTTTCTGTAACCCATGATGGGTGTCTGTTGCCCATAACATGTTCCTCTGTAACTAACTGTGTATAGGTCTTTACTGTTTGGAGAATATGTTTAGAAATATGGCTTGTAACTTGAAGTATTGCATTTTTTTTTTTTTTTTTTTTTTTTGAGACAGAGTCTCGCTTTGTTGCCCAGGCTAGAGTGAGTGCCGTGGCGTCCTAGCTCACAGCAACCTCAAACTCCTGGGCTCGAGTGATCCTTCTGCCTCAGCCTCCCGGGTAGCTGGGACTACAGGCATGCGCCACCATGCCCGGCTAATTTTTTATATATATATCAGTTGGCCAATTAATTTCATTTATAGTAGAAACGGGGTCTCGCTCTTGCTCAGGCTGGTTTTGAACTCCTGACCTTGAGCAATCCGCCCGCCTCGGCCTCCCAAGAGCTAGGATTACAGGCGTGAGCCACAGCGCCCGGCCTAAAGTATTGCATTTTTGAATGAATGTTCTTATAAATGTTTTGGGTTCCAAGTAGCTGAGTTATTCCAAGTATCTTTAGGATCCCAATTTTGTTTGTATACCCAGCTTGAAATGCATGCATTTCTATTATTGCAGCTTGATGACCTGCCTACATTAATATGAATGTTGTTTGAGAATTTTCAATATTATCTGTTATTATTAGAAATATTTCACATCAAAGTATTAATCTTCTATTTTAAATGCTGTAGAAGAAATAGAATATGTATTTAGATTTTGCTTTTATGTGAAGTGGCAATGTGTTATGGTAGTTAACATACATCATTTCATTATCACACTGAAAGGTATACTTTTATTGTATTATTTCATTAACAAGTGATTAAATAAACTCTGTCAATATATTTAATGCTTATAGTCAACTCTTAATACTATGACCTGGTCATAAATAATATATTCCATAGTTCTTAAAATTTTCCCTCAGAAGCCCTATGGTAGATATAATTCAGAATTAATTAATAATGCTATTCAATCTTTTTTGTTGTCACAGTGGTACTTTGAAGAAATATGCCTATAATCTTTGCCTCAGGGTTTCCATAAGTTGATCTCTGAGTTTAGATGAATGCATTGCTTGACAATGAGGATGTTTTCTTGGTAACTTGAGAACCTTAAAGAGTGGATAATCAAGTTAGTATTCATCTCTGCGTTGTTGGCATATGTTTAAATAAAAGTATGAGGCTATAGTGAAGAATTTCCTTTCTCACCTTATATAAAAGCTGTAATAGGCCCTTTCTTCCTGTTCTATTAATTTAAATTATTTCAATAAATTTTTTGTAAATAAAATGGGAGAAAAATATTTTGAGTTTTTTTCTTCCTTTTAGCTATGTTTAAGAGAAAAATAGTATATGACCCTCTTAAAACATTTAAGATTACAACAAATTAAAAGTTCACTAAAATGAAATGCTTGTATGTATAACGTATGCCTATAAAGTAGATAAAGTCATGTCTGTTTCAATGTGTTTCTAGTAATCATACTTTCCCTCTTTTTCTTCTTAGGTTCTTGATTATTACAGACCATTTTCTGAAAAGCCCGGAGTTGGTAGAAGCCATGTATGCCAAGCTGAGCAATCAAGAAAGGTAACCCCCAAGCCAGTGCGGTTTGGAGTATTTAGCATTCCATAGAGAGCATCCTGTGCACATGACTGAACACTGTGTGGTTTCTTAGTTGGCACAGGATCTCTAAATACATGTTTCTGTGTCGGTAATGGTTTTAAATTGGTTGGTTAACATTACAGCTTGGCCACAACAGGCAGTGATTTATGTAGGGCTGTAGAAACTAGGTTGGTGCTATTATTTAGTAAACGCATATTAAGGAAAAATTAAGAACAAAATGTTATGCATGTGCCTGGATTTTAATAACAGTAATTTATGCAACTGTATACTACAGCTGTATGTTTGAATGTGCTTGTTTGTCACATCAGTGGTATGATTATTTGGGATATACTCTTTTAGGTTCGTAGTTTCTGATAGGTAATTCAGACTAAAAGAAAATTGATACCTGTCTATTATCTCACAGTTATTATAGTAGGAAGAGCAATGACCTAGGAGTGCTGAGACCTTATTCTTTATGTGATCATAGCCAGTTCTTTTCACCTTGTTTGGATTCAGTTTATTGACCTGTAAAGTAAGAAGTTGGAATAAAATAATTTGCAGTACACTTTACATCGCAATAGCATGTATTTTTTCTAACCTTATTAGAAGTCTTGCCTTAGGAAAATAGCAAAATTTATTCAGAAATTATAGATCTCATGATCAAAAACTTAAAAAATGTTAATCTTTTGATTGTAGTCACAAGTTGTATAATTGTAATGGTTTTGGAATTCTTGCTACATATTTAGATTTCAACAGTTGACCTTTATGTGTCCTTTGTAGTCTTTTAAGTCGTTTATTTTTCTTCTTTAATATCTTTAACAAAAAGGAAAAGTTCATGCTTTTAGTCGGTTTAAGTACCAGATTTATAAATCCAATTTTAAGGCTCCCCCCATATGTATACCTCTATTGAAGAAAAAGAATTATTTGTACTTTTTTGACCTACAAAAAAGAAGATGAACAGTGTTAAAAATTAGTAATTGCTTTACAGTAAGGAGCACCTGAATACAAAGAGAATGCACAGTTAATTGTATTTTAATATTCAAGTTTATATTTGCCATATTCCTACTAACTGATCTATTTTAAACTGATCCATTACCTCACTATTATAAGTTTTTCTTCCAAAGAAGTGCTATCCTTTCATCACATTGTGTAGATTACATGGGATCACGTTACACACCTGCTTGTTTTGTAGCATGCTTCCAGTAGACTGTCAGTGCCCTGAGGGCAAGGCTTTCATCCTTTTTGTTCTCCATTCCACATTTCTAGTCAGCGCTTGGCATGTAGCAGGCACTCAAAATGAAAAAGGAAAATAAAAAGGTTTTTCAATGAAAGCATGAGTGAATTAATGAATTTTCTTACTCTTCAATAAAATGTGCATCTAATAGACTGGAGGATATAATATAATTTACTGAGTTGGAAACCTCAAGTTTTCTTTCTGCCCCTCCCCCTCATCTTACCAGTTCATACTGGTCAATGAATGTTATCAGGTGTACCATCCCAGTATCTTATGAATTTATCTCGATTTTGTCACAGCCCCAGTTTACCTTTATGGCATCTTTTTTTTTTGAGACAGACTCTCTGTCACCCTGGCTGGAGTACAGTGGCACTATCATAGCTCACTGCAGCTTCGAACTCCTAGGCTCAAGTGACCCTCTTGCCTCAGCCTCCTGGGTAGCTGGGACTACAGGCGGGCGACACTACACCCAGCTAAGTTTTCTTTTTGTAGAGATGGGGTTTCGTTCTTGCTCAGGCTGGTCTCAAACTTCTGACCTCAAGTGATCCTTCTGCTTCAGCCTCCCAGAGTGTTAGGAGTCCTTATGGCATCTTTTACTAGACTTTGACAATAGCTTTCTTAAAAAAATTGTGGTAAAACACATATGATAAATACCATTGTAACCATTTTTAAGTGTACAGTTCACTAGTGTTAAGTATGTTCACATTGTCTTGCAGCTAATCAAAAAGTTGCAAGAACTTTTTCATCTCACAGATCTGAAACTCTGTACCCATTAAACAACAAACTACAATTAGATACCACTCACACCCATTAGGATGACAGCTATCAAAGAACAGACAATAACAAGTTTTGGCAAGAATGTGGAGAAATTGGAACCCATGTGCTCTGTTCATGGGGATATAAAATAGTGCAGCCAGTATCTTAGTTCATTTTCTGCTATGATAACAGAATACCTGAGACTGGGTAATTTATAAGGAAAAGAAATTTATTTCTCACAATTCTGCAGACTGAAAAGTCCCAGAGCATGGTGCCAGCATCTGGTGAAGGCCCTCCTGCTGTGTAATCCCATGGTAGCAGGTGAGGGGGCACGCAGGTGCATGCAGTAGAAGAGAAAGCAGGGGCCAGGTTGACATTATAACAACCCACTCCTGAGATAATGGAATTAATCCATTCATGTTGGAGCCCCATGACCTAGTAATTTCTTAAAGGCGCTACCTCTTAATACTTTTACAATGGCAGTTAAATTTCAACCTGAGTTTCAGAGGGAAGAAACATTCAAACCATAGCAAAGCCCTTTGCTCAGTTTTGAATCAGGTTATTTATTTTGTTTGAGTTTTAGGAGTTCTCTGTATATTCTGGATATCAGTCCTTTACCAGATATATGATTTGCAAGTATGTTCTCCCATTCTGTGGGTTTTCTTTTAACTCTGCTGATACCGTCTTTTGATGGATGAAGTCCATCACACGTCCACATGTTCATGAAGTCTAATTTGTCTGTTTTTTTCTTTTGTTATCTTTGCCTTTGGTGTCGTATCAAAGAAATCATTGCCAAATCCAATGTTTTGAGGCTTTTGTCCTGTTTTCTTCTATAATTTTTATTGTTTTAGGTATTAGATTTAGATCTTTGGTCCATTTTGAGTTTTGTATATGGTGTTAGATAAGAGTCCAGCTTCATTTTCTTGCATGAAGATGTCTATTATTGCTAGTGCCATTTGTTGAAAAGACTGTCCTTTTCCAGTTGAATGGTCTTGGCACCCTTGTCAGAATCATTTGACCATATATGTGAGAGTGTATTTCTGAGCTTTCTATTTTTTTACATTGATCCATGTGTCTGTGTTTATGCCAGTGCTGCACTGTTTTGATTACTATAGCTTTTCAGTAAGTTTTGAAATCAGGAAGTGGGAGTCCTGCAGCTTTGTTCTTTCATTTCAGGCCGTTACTTCTTAATTGTAACCATCAACTTGGTCATACTTAGCTCTTCTTCCTTGTTTCATTTGTGTTCCAGAGGAAAAGGTATCAAATAGTGGTATGGAAATCTCTGTACCACTGACACCCTGGAAATGTGCCTATATAGAGCTGTCAGGGTAAGGGCAGGACATGAGGAAATGTCTCCAGTCACTCTCCTGAGTCTCTCTTCTTGTTTATGGAATGGGCAGAGTTGCTCAGCAGTGCTGCCACCCCCATATTTAATTCTCTGCCCTTTGTGTGGTAAGTAGCCATCATATTATAGTGTTATAGTTGTCCACAGAGTAACAGTCTCCAGAGTGGGGTATATGTAAGAAAATATTAGAATATCTATTTCTATTTATTTGTTGCCTAAAAAAAATCAGAAAGTAATTAAACTTTGTTGGTATTTAATATCTAGTTTGATAGTAGTAGGTTATCTGTAAATCACATATATTGGAGATGTGTGATACAAACTTTTTTATTGATTAAAAAATCTTTGAGAATATTAAACTAAAGCATGCTGTTGCTGGATTATTTGTTCCTGTAGAGCTTCATCCTTTAATTTTTAATTGATTTTACATTCATTGAGTTTCTATAATATGCTAAACGCTGAGAACATCAAAGTTGCCCAACACACTAGTATGTAAGAAAGGGATCCTGCTTTTTTGTAGCATCATGTTGTCATGTAGGTGCTAGTACTCTTGTCATTTTGGAGTAATTATGTAAGTCAAAAATAATTTTACAGTCTCTAGTATATTGGGGGGCAGCGAAAGATGCTTCTGTCTGTGCATTCTGCTTGCGCCCGAGTGCCAGCAGAGGTCAGAACTCCAAGGAGCCACAGCAGGGCCATTTTCAGGATGAAAAGTAGGGAGGGTCTGCCACCTCCAAATGTCACCAAATATTAAGTTACAGCCCTGTAGGCATAATGGGATGTTAAGGTGGTATTCTAGGATAAGACCTTGCTCTTTTCAAAATGCTTATTTTATATGTGAATATGTGGTAAGTTAGAAATTTGACATTTAATTGGCCATATTCTAAATCTAAAAAGTGTCACTTTAAGAACCGGCTCCATCTTTTGTACATTTTGTGCTAAGGGTATTAATTACTTTTACTGTGAGTACATTATCAGCGAAAACATTTAAATTTTTTCCTTAAAGTGACTTGTAGAAAGCTCTTGTTATGTAAGTCTAGGACTTCTCTAAGCATTTTATTTAACTTAATCACCACATCAACCCTAGAAGATCCATCCTATTGTCCCTACGTTGTAGATCTGTACAGTGAGGAACAGAGGGTCCATGGCTTGCCTGGGCTCACACAGCTAGTCGGTGGCAGAGCCAGGATTTATCTGGCTGTTGTCTGGCTCCAGGCTTTGCTGGTAACTACAACAAGGTGCCTCCTGCAGCTGAACTGCATCACAGCAAGATGATCTTTGTGGTGTATATAAAAGCTTTGTAGCACCCAACTGTATGCAGTATGAGGACATAAAATTAATTGCCTTTAAGAAAAGGGATGATCATTCTTTTTCATATGGTTGTTTATTTCTTCTGAGTGTCCATCAATCAGTATATTTCTCTAATGTTGATGTCATCTCAGGCATGTTTTGGATGTCATGATCAGCCAATAAATGTTAGTTCAATAAGTGAATGAGGAGATGAATGATGACCCAATCCCTCAATTTCATAGGAGATAGATTTTATTGGAGGTGGGTCTTTGTAATTCTTATTTCACATGGTATATTGCCTTAGCCTGATTTCTGGCTTCACTTTTTTTCGAAAAATGGCAACTGGAAATATTCTGGCTCAAG